GAATTTTTTTTACATATTGAAAAGAACTTAAACATTTAACTGACAAGCGTAATCACAAGCTAGCTGGACAAACATGGATGAAAGTGACCTTTTTGTAGCATTTGATAATGGATGTTAAAGTAGAATGAGATAAGACACAGCTCGGATGTGAAATTATGTAACTGCTACTTTATGAGCAGTAAAATAAAAATAACCTGACAGCTGTGATGGCGTTCAGGACTCAACGTGAAGATGGCTGCTTTGTAACAAATAGTTTAACTCTATGTGTGACAGCTCACCTGTCCAATAGCGTGTCTTGCCCTTAAATCCTGACCGATCCTGTCTCCATGCTAGGGCTAATTTATCATTTTAAGTAATGAAGTAACCACTGCTCCACTTGTAAAAATGCTACAACTTCCACACTTAGGAGAGGCTTACATGAACCCTGCTGCTGTCGTCCAGTGCTGCAGATTTTTAACAGGCTTAGAGGAAGGACCCGTACAACCAGCTGGAAGCAACAAGCTGAACTTTCGCCTCTGTTAGTATTTTTCCAAAATCTAGATTAGTAAACGAGGAGGCTATTTTGTGATTTTGACACTCAACATGTCTTTTGCACTCTGTGATGTTTGTGGACCAATACTGGTAGAGACATGTGGAAAACGTCTTCCTTGTGTCCCATGCGTACACCTATCTGGTAATGCAACAGCATGCAGGTCCGCCTGGGTTGAAAGTGTTGTGAAAATGTTATTATTGCGACTTTTGCTGAAAAGCTGCCCATTCAGACACGAAGCCAACACGTTTACACGCTGTGAGATTTATGGAAAGAAGTGCGTGTCTAAAAGGGGCTTCCCATTTTTGGTGACAGTGTTATTTTTGATGAATTATTGCTGCTAATAATTCAACTGCAGAACTCAGGAACAGGTTACTTAACAACCATTTTAACTTTTTTTTTTTTTCCCCTCCTCTCTCCCCAGCCAAAGGCTCGTCCCTGACAGCGGTGTCCGGCTTCAGTGTATGAAACTGGCAGGCGGGCGGGGAAAAGTCCGGAGCGGTCCGCGTACTGCTCTGGACTGCACGAGGCCTTCTAAAATCAAACCCACATACTCAGCTTCCCACAATCCTCAGGGTGGAGATGATCTGGACTGCCCAGTGAAGTAGATGTGGTCCTTACTATTTCTCCCAAAGCCATGTGTGTGGGGGTGGGGGGTGGTGGGTGGGTGGTGGGAGGGCAGGGGCACTGAACGGGGACAGCGTGGAGCACCAGGGGTCTAAATGAGCGAGCCAAGGATCCCCCCCTCCCACGCAAGTGTTGTCCCAGTAATCTGAGAGGTCTTCCTGTCTGTTCGGAGGTAGGAGCAACTAATTGCAACAGCCATGGGTCTCTTGTCCTGTGGTAAAAAGAGCTCATTGGGTTCAGGTTAAGGGCTGCTGCAACAAGCCGTCGTGACGCTGAGCAACTGGGGAGACAACAAGCCGATCTCTTCCGCGTTTGTTAAAGAATGAGTGTGTGAATGTGCGCGTGTGTACAAGTGTTTTTTTTCATGTCAGATTCTGCTGGACTACTGGAATTTCCAACTTAATTACACCCCCAGCGCCTGATCTCAGAAGCCTTTGCAAGGAGAGCAGGAGGAGGAGCAAACCGATACTTGCAACACCTTAAAACAACACACAATCACTTTGTTGTTTCACTTTTTTTTCCGTCAGTCTTGACTCTCTCTGGTGACACGTCGAGTAACTCGGGGTTACACGCTGTAGCCTGAGACAAGCCCGTAGGGATGATCTGGTCAATTCTTTTATTACCCGGAAATATTATGCAAGTGTTACCTTTTTATGATTTCTTATGAGCTTTTTACACTGAACTACAAAGAGTCTTTGTAGACTTGGTGAAGATGGTTGTGCTTTTAAATGTGAAAAGGACACCTGATGTGCCCATTCGATTGAATCTTTTGACAGAGAGATAGCTTGGTCTTGAGAACACCTGTTAATTTTCTGAATCTTTTCATTGTGCAAAAATGATAGCCACAGTAGACCTACCCCCAACTGTGAACAGCACTAAATAACTACTTTCTCCACAGGCACTGCTTTAGTTGTCCACAAAGCTAGCCAAAAGCTGCTATCAGCTTTGCCAACTACTAGTTTTTTTTTGTTTGTTTGTTTTTAAAAGGTAAAAGATGGGCAGTCCTGCTCATGAAGCGGTGACCGTGCATTGTGGATATGAAGAAAATCTGTGCAAGCTGTATTGTTATAGCCACAACTTACCTACTTTTAACCCAATACAGCTGTGTGAAATCCACAGCTGCATGTGGGCAGATGTGAATTGTAATGTTTTCTTTTTCCTGCATCGGGAATCAGGTATGGTACGTCTTAACTGGAGCAAACTTGCACGTCACCTGTCTTCTGTGGGTATGATTGTCCCTCCTGTGTGTAACCACTACCCAAGCGCTGGATGTTCAAGTTTCAATGCCTCACCGTAACACTATGTTGTTGTGTGTTAAGAGATTTGTCACAGTAGCCAGGCATTATACTCTATTCCTTTTGTCAAAGCGGAGTCTTAAATCAGGCAATACTTGCCCATCTGGTTGGGATGTTTGCTTATTAGCGGTCTCGGGTCGAGTTTTATGGTGCGAGATTCATGGAGATGGCTTCACGGGACATATTCGAAACTTTTGGCAACACCTGTTGATTTATGGAACCTCCACTGATGTCAGATAGTGTGGAAAGGTAGAGGAGGCAATTTAAAAAAAAAGAAAAAAAGAATCTTAATTTAGCTTTTGTTTCCTTGTAGCCTATGTATCAAAACAAGTATTGAAGTATCCCTATTTGAGAATACATATTTTGTTAACAAATTGTACATAGTAAAATATGTATTTTTGCACAGGCAATTTTTCGTACACGCTGAATTTTTGGTACAATTTTGAAAATTATTATTTATTTAGTAAAAAAGGAAAAAGGAAAAAAAAAAAAAAGTCAAGAGAACATGACTATTTGAAGTGGTTCACTGCCAAGTCTATATAATGCAATACGCCTATATGTAAAAGCTGAAGCATCTCATGAATCATGTACTGAGATCCTTTAAGGAAGTGTTGCCACTGTAGCATGTGTCTGAATGACAGAGGATACCTTTATTCACCTAAGGTCTCAATCACATGTGCTTTTACAAGACATTTTATGTTGCCTATGAATCAACACGACAAAAAAGAAAAAAAACAAAAAAAATAATTTTACTCTGTGACCCAGTTAGCCTGTGATTTTGAAATGTCATGCAGGCTTCAAGCTGTGCCCGTCGTCAAACCAGTTTCCATGGACTCTTCAGTCGTACGCTTTGTAGACCTTAACCACATTTCACGATTGAAACACTTATGTTCTTTTATAAAGGCTGAAGGGACTTAAGCAATCATTGCAAGAAAGAGGAACACTTCAAACAGTCCAACTGCTTGCATCGTCGTTGCCAAACAAGTAATTTGAATCACAGCTTTTAAAGAATGAGTTTAGCAGCTTTTAAAAGAAATATCAAAATAAGAAAGTGCCTGAATTTGTTTCACCCTGACTGTTTGAGGACAGTATTCTTTGGGTTGTTTTACCTTACTTGAATGTTCAAAGTATTTAGGAGTTTAGTTTTAAATCTGCCTATGAACCCGAAATGTGGTAAAACCTGAGCTCGTCAGCTGCCCAGTATGAAACACTTAAATGTTGTTGTTTTTTTTTTCCTCGAACTTTCCAGACAAGACGTTGAAATATTGTTAGCCTCAGTGTGTGGCTTTGGCCTCCTCTGGTTTACTGGGATTTTTATGTAGAAACTTCAAGTGTTTTTGTTTACCCTTCAAACTCCACTGACATCTTGACTTTGTTTCCAGTACATGGGAACATTACGAGGATGTTTTCTTTATTAGTACCATAGACTTGGAATGTGAAAGTGAGAGAGAATACAGCTCGTGTCTGGGAAGAAAAAAAAAAAAACAAATCCACCATTCATACGATGTAAAAGCGTGTATAGATTTTTTTTTTTTTGTATACATTATCAGAATCATTTTCAGCTGGACTTATGTATTGGCTGCTATGTAATTCATGAACAAAACATAGGTTAGAATTAATATTTAAAGAAAAGATTGTATAGTATATTTGTTTTGTAACAAGTTTCTGTAAATAAAATAATTTATACTGCTATTTATATGAAACGCTGTGTCTGGCTCTTTCCTAAAAGTACAAAATAACAACCTTGAGACATCGATTGTCAACAGTTAAACAGGTTTTTATTATATACACAATATAAGAGTCACTTTGTCAAACAAAAGACAGGTTTGAGTATACCAAGAAGAGTAATGCAAGGGTGGCCTAACATGTCATTACATGTTAATAACTCTCGACAACTTCTGGACTCTGTTGAGCAGCAAGTCGCCCTTCTTGATGGTTTCCTGGTATTGCCAGTTTTTGCTATCAGGTCTGCAAAGAAGAACACAAGATTTAGAATTCTGTGTCTGGTTATGAAGGAATCTGACCCAAGAATCGAGGTTTTAATAAAAGTAGCATTACCTATTGGTTTCCACAATCTCGTTCACTTTATCAATTTTACAATGCAGACGGCCAGCAGCTATGAATCGGGACAGTTCCCTGTGAAAAGGAAACAAGATTAGGTTAGCCGAAACAAATATCACTGCTTGGAAAGGGTAACCATTTTGACAACTGCACTTACTCACTGTCTTGTAAAGAGTTACATGAGAAAATTGACACCACCCTCTGCAGCCAGCAGCAGGTTGGCTTCACTTAAAATAAAATGTGGAGGTGGAGTGGTGGGGAGTACATCTAGCCTGGCTCTGACCAGAGGCAACTAAATCTGCCAATAAGCACATATCTAGACAAGGAGTAAAGTAGAAAGCACAGTGCAAGTGTACAGGGAATGATGTGCTATTTCCTGGTCAGGAACAGGATCTCCTACAGTCTGTCCTGGTTATCTGGTAACCTCATGGCAGCAATTCTATGTTTCAAGAACCACTGCAAGACCCAGCTGATGGCTTCATGTTCACGTTACAGGCATGAATGGAGTACATTTTAACTTAAGGGAATAAGAGTATTTCTTCAAAGTTTCCATGAAGCTTTAAGTGGACACTGTTCACAGTGAATCAATGCTATGACCCACACACCACTTCTTAAGCTTATTGGTTCCGATTCACTGAGCTTCTGTCAGTTTATCTCTTCATAGCACCTTCAACCAAATTTGGCCTTTTACTCAAGTTAATGTCCTGATGCTTGAAAATTGGTGATCTAGATCAAAAAAAAGCTTTTCTGACTGTGTTACCAATTCACAGAAACCTGCAAAATCCTAGGAGCACCAGAGAGAACTGCAGCTACAATTTCTGTAGTTTTGTCTTGGTTCCACCGGTATTGAAAAACAATGATCAGAATTGCAGACAAGACGGACACAGCATATAAATGTGGTGGATTGAAACTCACTGGTCAATGAACTCTGTGCTGACACCGAAGGCCTCGGCCATGTAGCCAAGAGTGAGGGATCGGTAGGACTCTAGCAGCTGGCTGTAGGCCTGGATCCTCATCTCCCTCACATAGTAGCGATAGTGTGGGGCGAAGAGCCAGTCCTTCTTCATCTCCTGCTCCACCATGGCTGTGACACAAAGTTTCACATTCGTTATTGAAGTGTCAACATAGAGTAGCACAGAGACTACATAATGATCCTCAATAAAAATTTAGGAAGTTAAGATTTTTTTTCATTGAAATAATAAAAGGAAAGGCCTCCTCACCCAAAGACTGGAAGAAGACAGAGTAACGGCACTCGTAGAGCGAGAAAAGATACTGGCGGACAGAAGGCAGACTGTGCAGCACCTCCAAGATTTCTGCTCCCTTTATTACCTACAGAGAAACATATGGAAGATGAATTAAACTTTATCGATCCCTCACCTGGGAAATTTACATTAACCGGCACTTACACAGCCAATTTACACACGTGTTTCGAAAAATGTGTGATAGAATCTTTTGTGCACATGCTCCTCGTCTCCTACCTTTTCGCGGAGGTCAGGCCTTTTGAGGGCGATCATGCAGACGTAGACGGTGTAAGTCACAAAGGTCTTGTAGTCCATGAGCTCATAGGAGGTAAACGTGGAGACTGTGTCGAGGAAAAGCTCAGCAGCTTGTTTGAAATCTCTGATGGCCACGCAGTACAGGCCCTGGTAAACCTTCAGACGATTCCTCCTGTCCCAGTCTCCTCCCTCCTCAATAAGGCTGTGGAGAAAAAAAAAGCACAGACAGATGAGTATTGAACAGATTACGGAGACTAATGAAGGAGATTCCGCAACAACAACAACAAGAAAAAGATAGCAGGATCTTTACCTCTTGGCTTTCTCCGAGTTGCGTGTGATGAGGTCGCTATCCATGTAGAAGAGGCCGATCCTCAGCAGGTAGAAGACAATGTCTAGTCTGTGACCCAGAGCCACTGTCTTGTCATAGGTCTTTCTGAAGGCTGTCAGGGCGCCCTCCTGTGGACACATAAGAAAAGAGGCAGGCAAAGTCAATCAATCTGCTACTCCTCAGATGAGTTGACATCAAACCTGAATGGTCAACTTTGGTCATTTCATGTAACAACAACTGCAAAAGATAAAACATAATATACAGAGTCATTTAGATTACTTTTAACTTTAACTTCTACTGCTGCTTTAGAAGGAAACTGCCAACAACGATATTATATCTAATCACTTAGTAATCAGACCAAAATAACCATGACTTATTATCTGTCATCCAAAACACCGAGTGTAGTTCAGAGTGCCACTTGTATAATAAAAATCAGGCAAGCATGATTTAGAGGGCTTTACACAGTAGTGTTTAGAGAACAGAAAAAAACATTAGCGAAAGTTTCCGTGAAAAGTGCAACATCACAACTAGACTTGACGCAATCGTGGTTCATTTTCCTAGTTGGTGCTGCCACATTTCACTTCATGCTTAACAAAATATACTGTTTAGAACTGTGAGACAGGGCTGAATGAATTGGGAAAAATATGAAATTGCATTTTTTTTTTCCAAACAAATATTTCAATTTGAGCAGTAATATCATTTTCAATGTCAAGTTTCAGTTTAATATTTACTGTGTACCTGGTTTAAAACGTGATGAAAGCATCACTGAATGAAATATCATCAGAAGAGTGATTTTCATGCAAGAAGGACAACTTAAATTTGTACAACCACTGACACACAGTTCAAATACTTGGTTAGACTTGATGCAAAATGTTAAGATGTAGCTGTTAAATAATGAGTGGCATGCATGCTTCAAGCACAGAGTATACATTGATCAATGCTAATGAACTGCAGCTTTTGCAATTAAACTGCGCTATTTCAAATCGCAATTATGATGTGAAATTTAACAGTCATTTAACCCTGTTGCGGGCTCATACCTTGTCTCCAATTCTGATGAGATATTCAGCTTTGGCCATCATGGCGTCTCGGATCTCGCTCTCTCCCAGGTTCTTCTCTGCGTCCTCCAGCACATCATCCAGGCGCTTCAGCTCCTCCTCGTTGGCCTTCTTCATCTTACTCAGCAGGTCACTGTCCAGCTGCCACTTCAGCTCCTTACACAGACCCTCATAATAAGGCGCCATATCTGAAGCAGAGAGAAACCGCTGGATTACATACCTGCACTCACATCTAACCAACAAAGTCATACTTATGACAATCATCAGGATCCGTTTCACTGCCAAGTGTGTTTTTACATATGTGGCATTTGACTTGCTGTTTCGGTGCATAACAGAAAACAAAATTTAATAAAGACAATAATGAAATGCAAATCCAATAAGAAGCAAGTGTAGCAGGTTAAAGCCTAAATAAAGTAATACAGATATTTACTATGTTACTTACACTTATATACAAATACAAGAGCAGAAAGTACATTTATATTTCGTGTTTATATTGTACTTCATATTAATACTTGTGTTTATATTTTTATTATGTGTTTTATACTTTGCTAGTTCTTTAAAGGCTTTTGAATAGGAGCATTTGTAACAGAAAGCAATTTCCCCTCGAGGATTAATAAAGTATTTCTGATCCCGATTCTAAACTTCTGCTGATGATTGTATCTTTAGTATAATACTAAAGCAACGTCTACTTCTGCTTTCACTTATTGTAACTTACATGAAGTGGGCCTTGCTAATATCAGAAATCTAATTCGCGCATGTTTGCTGAATTCACCAAACAGCCCATTTGAGCTAGTTAGCTAGTTGACGTTTGCTAATAGCGTTAGCTAGCAAGCTAATGCCTGTTATGAATGTTAAATGTACATAACTTTATCCATTTTATGAGCATTTACGTGACAAGTATACACTCAGAGTATTACTCGTGTAGTCACCTACATACAAAACGCATGTTTCAAACAAAAAGTCTACTCGGGCTAACGTTACGAAGTGAAATGCTAACTCACTGTTAGCTTTGATTGCGTCCATGAGCTCCGTCTTCACTTTTACGTCCTGTCGGTGTCCGTCCATGGTGAGCAGAAACTTCAGCTGTGCTATCCTCAGGTCGGGGTTCTTGGGCAGACCCTCTTCCTCCAGATTCTCCAGCGGCATTTTGAGGCAAAAAAATATAAAAGCAAATACACAAACTGAGGGCTTTCTTTGTGCAGACTCTGTCGGCTACTCGCCGTTACCAGCTAGTCAACGATGACTACGGAAAACACTGGACGCTGTTGTTTCCGCCGAGTCGACTGTCAGTCAGCGGAGACGTTTAACCAGCACCACGTGACTACCGCCCTCTGCTGGCCAGGAGGAGGAACAACACCGCCGCTCAGTGTGAGGCAGATGCTACTTTCTGTCCATGTACATATTAGAGATGCGCCGATCCGATACTGGGTATCGGTATCGGGCCGATACTGGACGAAATTACGGTATCGGATGATTTACTTCACAGTGGTAACTGGCCGATCCGATACCGCCACACACACACAATCCTGCCTTCCGACACATCCACGTGTTCGTCTGCTCATTGGCTACAAGTGTACAGCGTCAGAGAGTGTCTGCAACCCGACTGGTCGAATCTACAAGGGTGGAACTTGTGCGTACCGGGTTGACTGTCTGAGACACTCCATTGGCTCTTCAGGCTGTCACTCACCCCCAAAGCCCTCCTATTGGCCAAACTAGGTGTCAATCAAAAGCTGAGCCGTCGAGCTGCCTGTAGCGCTTTCAGCGCGATCTGAAAT